ACGCTGCGACACTAGCGCCACGCTTACGCGTAATTAAGGATTCGCCGCTTACTCTCGTTATTAAATAAATTCTCTTCGCTTAGTACATCTAAACTGTAATAAAAACCGTGTAATATCCACTTAACGACTTAACCTTCAAATCCACTTAATCCTCAAAGTTACAAGCTCTTGTTTTTGTTCTAGGAGTAAATCCCTGCTTGTCGTGGAATCTGCGTTACTTCCGGTTTACGATGCAGATTTAACATTAAACGAGTATTCCTAGATCGTTCGTTAATCTTTCTAGCTTAAGAATATTCCATATTTCGAATTTACGAAATTGTGCATCTTACTGTACAGTCTTACAAAATTATTAAAGTAGTTAGAAATAAATGTTGAAATTTGTTCATAGTCTTTAAGCCAATCGAGAGGATCAGACGATGATCGAAGCATGTGAGAGTTATGAAATATTTTATCCACTACGTTATATTTTATCTAGAGGAAAAATCATGGCATATAAAAATTTGTTAACAATTAGCTGTAACGTGTCTACGTCTGCTCCTCTCTTTTGGGATTGATCACTGGCAATAACTGTCATTAAATTAACGATTTGTTTCTGCTTAAATAAATATTAATAAAAACAATATCAAATCGATGATTGAGTATGCTTGACGCTAATCCGCCATTAATTTTCCAGTCTAACGTAACCTAACATTAACCCTCTACAACGCCATCTGGCTCGAAGATTACATATCTATACATCATACGTCTTAACGCTATTTTTACGAGTAGATCATTACATTAAATTAAACAATAAGGTAAAAATAATGTAAATACGTGATAATAATTCCTCTTATAAATGAACAAAATTTTAGTCATAGAGGGTTAACCTATATTCTCCAACCACTACGAAACAATGACACGCACAGTCAAACTTCTTCGTCGATCATCGATCATAGGCAACACTGTCACCCCGGTGCAACGAAAGGTACAGTCTATACCAAACGGTTCCTACCTAACGATCTGCTTGGATAAAAGTTCCAGGACAAGATAAACGAAATAAGAAACGCAAATTGTCGTCCATCAATATTTCAAAAGCGGCAATTTCGAGAAATTAAGGGCGGCCTTTTATTCGCTCACGCCTGAGGGGTCGCCTTATTCGAAAGCGGAGGAGGGATCTTCTTGGTATGACGTCGAATCCTGACAAAAATTCCTACGAACGTTCCGAAACGCAAATATTTAAGCTCGCCGAGACCTAGTCAGTCTCATTACGAGGCCCCTGCAGCATTTACCAGATACTTTCAGGAATTTTTGGCAGCGAGAAGCTGTGCTCTCCCCGGTTCATAAATTATTCGACTTTGACGAACACGAGGCTCTCACCCGCCACGCCTCCAGGTTGACAGCCGATGAATATTCGCTTCGAACGAGCCCCAGCGCTCTCACCTCGTGTACACGAACGCTCCTACATCCCTTCCGCCTATTTCTTTTTCACGCCACAGCCTCTTCCTTTATTTACTCGTTGCCTCATCAGGCCATTCTCTCTTTCTCGCTTCTCGATCTTCGTATCGACCGTAAAAATCCATTCACGATCTACGTTAACCCACACGAGTTCCCCGTGTTCGATGAATGATTCCAGAGAATGATTCGTGTCTAACCCCCTCGCTGTTCTGTCTGTACAGTCGGTGCGAGAAGCATAGTGCACTTGTAAAATCAGTCGACACTGAAAGTACAAGTACTTTTCAAACTTCTGAGACAATAAGATGAAAGATCTAGAGCCATTCTAGGATTCCCTAGATCCTTCTGTCACCGGGTGTTGCAGAAAATAGTTCGCTAAAATTTTTTTAGATATTCAATCTTTTTTTTTTAATTTAGTAGCAAGTGATAGTTAAACAATTAAATTAAGATTCGAGGTTAATCGACAATTTCTGTCATTTTAGTGCTTGGTGATAGAAACTACTATACTTCTTGCGCGGATTATACGTTGTACAATAAAGAATCCAAATTTCAATATTTTGCTCGTACCATGTAATATATCGTCATCAAAGTAACATTAAAATACATGTAAATTGTGTTTCTTTATCTCTCTTATAATAAATTTGATGATATTGGATTATTAAAAAATTTGAACATTTTTGAACATAACCTAATTTTAGTCAACAGCGAAAGGGTTAATAACGATGGAGAGGAGAGGTGATGGCACGGATAAAGGAGAGACAGGAAACTGGAGAGGAGAGGAGAGGAGAGACTGATTAGGTAGGGACAAGAAATCGGTGGAAGTGAAAAAGGTATAGAGATGAATGATGCAGCGCGAGGAGTCCATGTATGATAGATCGGTGCGCACAAAATGTCGGATCCCTCGCTCGCGCATGCGCATGAGCCTCGGTTGGCCAATGCTTCGCTTGGTCAGTGGGATCCTTTTCTACTCTTCTCTCTCTTTTCCCTTGCTTTTTCTACCACTCTTATGTTTTTTATTTTTCTTATCCTTTCTTTTCCCTTTTTCGTTGCTTTGTGAAAGGTTAGCGGGTTGGACTGAACGTGATTTAATTAAAAGCTCCAATTAATTGCTGCCATCAGCAGTTTCTGGTTTGAAACCGCGAGTCTTGGCTTCCGGTAGCCAAGCTGCTCTGTTTTGATCTCCCGTTCATGGATTTGAGGCATCGAAAATAAACTTTGTAATTTGATCTTGCTAATTTGGTCATTGGGAAATTACAGATCGATCGTTTTTCGTTCTGATCGTAGTCGAGGATGTTAATTACCCTGCAACCTTTGTACATGTTATAGTTATTTATTTAACGTACGTATGGAACTAAACTAATCGACTTTGGAGAATTACAAATGGATATTTTGGCAAAATAGAGTCGATTAGTTTAGCTTCTGAGAAAATCATTTATCGATATTCCACGTGTTACGTTTTTAAAGTGTAAAGAATATTAGAATATGGTTAAACAAAATCCTGCTGTTTGATAAAAATACTCCGAAATAGTTATAAAAATAATGAACAAATTTTGGATTTCGAGTGCATCTTCAAATTTAATTTAAGAGTAATATTAGTGTCTCTATGAGTGCCTTTTAATTCTGTGATCTAATCATTAATACGTAAAATAAACATATACCTAACTTTTATAAAATTCTATAAAATTATACGATTATTTGGTATATTAAATATATACTCATTTTTACATAATTTCTGTAACGTATAATTATAATATGATACATAATTATACATTACATATTTCATAATTATATATGATTAGGAAATATAAAAACTTTAATAACATTCCTGTCATCGTATTTAAACCAAAATGTGTTTGTTAACATTTGGAAATAAATTTATGCACTGGTGTTTCAACTATAACATGCACACACGTATACGAATACGTAATGGACTGTTAACGTTTTCCAAATTCCTCTCCCTCCGTATGAAATGGCGAAGAGAAATTCACGAGCTCTAAATCCGGTTATATTATATCAGCAAAGCTCTTATTTTCCTCCCTTTCATCATCTATTCGTAAAGTTTCGTATGTCCATAATAACATAGGGAATATATCCCGCCATCTCGAGCTTCATACGAACTTACGTGTGCGTTTTCTGAATGCGAAGAAACCAGGGAATGCTTCTCCAAGCTTTATTACGCAAAACAAGCAGCCTGGCGTACCAGGAATATTCCATTCTACCCAACAACTGTTTATACCTCGAGAAAATATCTCTCGAACGACTTGAAATTGGAAAGACTCGCTATCGCTGTTCCAATTTCCATTCGTCGATCACTGGATAAAAAATTCCAACAACGTATGGGTCGAAAATATTTCTCGAAAAAGTTTCCCTCTACGAACAGGTCATGGATGAACCATAAATTTATATGTAACCCTCTGTAGACATCCTTTGGTCGTCGATGGCACAAGAAATTTCTTTGTCAAATTTTCATTTTAGTTGAATAATCAACGTCAACCTATATTTGAACAGGTCTTTGGTATACAAAATTTCAAATATTAATTACTATAATCGAGAATATGTTCATATAAGTAAGTTAAAAATAGTAAAATAGTGTTCTACTTTAGTTTACTTCATCAGGCATTTTTCCGATGAATCATGATGTAAACAAAGAATTAGTACTTACATTAATAATAATTAAAATTAGAATACTGAGAAAAAGCTAATTAAAAATTAGACTAAACACTAGAATTACGAATTATAATGCATAGTTAAATATAATATAGGCACAAAATTATAAAATGATATATTGTTTACAATAAAAATAAATAAATAAATATAAATACGCTTTTATTTCAATAGAAATCGAAATAAATTTTGTTAAAATTGGCAAAAACGAGAACCACGAAATTGGTCATTTTGTCTCAAGGTACAATCGCATAGTACTCTCCTAAAACTCCCCGAATTTGCTGAAGCCCTCGAACAAAAGAAAGCTGAATCCAGGACAAATAGAACCCAATTCCGAACAGAACCGAGAGTGCAAATTTTTACATAAGTTCACCTACATAGGGTTACGAATTCGAGAAAGCAAAGATCCAGCGAGACACGAAATATCCCCAGACAGAGGGCGCCACGTCTACCAGCTAACCTCTCTCGCGTTCCCCAGGTCGCAAATTCCGTGAGATTTGCATGCACTAAAATCCCAATGACTCCGCGGCAAGCGTCGGGATCTCAGAGCCGAAATTTATTCCAAATCCTGACGCTCACACGCACGCACGTGCACACACACGTACACAAAGGCGTAGACACCCGCGAAAGAAAAGGAACGAAAAGAAGAGAAGACAGCCGTAATAATTCACGCGTGGTCGCTGTGAAAGGCGTCGCAAGTGGTTGCGGTAAAAATCCGACATTTCATCCGCAGCGATCTAATATTCCCTTATAGACCGTGCAATCTTGATACCCGTCTTGAGCTCGTTCCTCCGCCAATCCTCCTCCCTTCTCTCCCTCACCGTTATCCCAGTTCGACTCGTAGGGTCGTCCCGACGCCCCGGTCGAGTGCGCCTCGGCAGTGGAGAGTAGTGTTGGTTCCAGCTTTAACCCAAACCTCCGGCTGTCTTGGTCCCGTTGGTCCGCAGGTTAGAGTTCCTCCGGTCCTCCTCTGGAACCCACCGTACAAGAAGAACAGGAAAACAAAGACACTACAGACTTTTCCGCTCGGGCGACAATTACTGCTAAATTGCCTTGTACCTCGGCTAAGACCACTAGGTTTAACCCCTCGTATTTTTCTTCCCTTTTCCCTCAGTCTCTTTCGCTCACCAGCTGGCTTTGTGCATGATAATTGCTGGACATACACGGGGATTCTTCCTGGTTAGGGTAATAGGGCGGCTTAATGGGGTAAGAAATGTAGGTTGGCGAACCGGTTAGACGCGAGTACAGCTGTGGTTTGAGGTGTGCTTGGGGTTACAGTGGATGTGTTTTCTGCTGAATTAAGGTTTAGCGAATGAGTTTCAGGGAATCGGCACGGATTCAGGATTATTGACACTAAACTTACCATGGTCTAAATCAGGGGTTCTTAAACTTCCTCAATTACGATCCCATTGCGGTGATGACAGTTTGCCTTGATCCTTTTCCTTGAAGGAAATGTTTCGCGACACGAGATACACGTGTACATAGATGTGCAAGTGCATAAAATTAATGAACAAACGGTAATTAGTAATGAAAGAAATTTAATTTCAAACGACTGTTTGTTTAAGAACCCCTTATTTGACTAATTTTCAATTTTCGTGATCAATATACATGTGAGCTGTGACACTGTCAACAACAAATTTTAACTTTTCCTCTAATTTGTAATATGCAGTAAGTGATTCTCCAAGAGCTTCTTTCCCGAAAACGAATTCGTAATCAAGTTTGCATTATAATATACAATTTTCGCATAAAGTGAGTTTTTCTAAAAAGGGAGAATTTATATCTCAAATGAAAGTAAGGAGGTTAGGAGGTACATTGTTGTCTTACAGGTTAAATAAGTATCCCGAGTTTACTAATGTCCGTAATTATAATTATTCGTGCTTCTGAATAACTATAATTAGTCATCAAAGTTTAAAAATAAACCTCCAAGCGTACTTTCTACGCGTGTTCTTGCATTTTTACAAAAAGTTCTTCATCTCACACGAATTTGCTACACAGTAGCGTATTCTGCAGACTTTTCTGAAGAAGAAACTATCCAGGAATAATATTAGAATGATGTTCAATATGAACAGGACAGTAAAATATAAATGGAGAACCCGTAAGTGGGATTTTGCCGCCATGCGGCTATTGCTCGTATAGCGCGTTCAAGAGAAGAAGGCACAGCGTGTTTGCATCCTCACGGCTGACGAAGATCATCGATCACCGTTTTCGGTCAATAGCGGTCTCTGCCAGTGATCAAGGGAGTGTCAGCAGAATTAATCAGCCATGAGAATGTAAACACGTTGTGCCTCCTTTCCTCGAACGCACAGTACATCTAGCTTTGTCAGGGCCGTGGTCAGGCGTAATTGACACCAAAATTGTAGATCTCATTTTTTACGTATATCACATATATATGTTCTCGTGTACTCTTTTGTACTAATCATAAAATTACGAGAAATTCCTTTGAATCACTTGCCTTTTGAAATAGGCTCGTTATTCGACACATAAATACGAATGACTTTTTAATATACAGTAGTTAAAAAATAAACTCCCACCCAATTTTTAAGATGAGAATGAATCTTCCAACGTTTTTATTTTTCGTATAATACTTCAGTTTAGCCAAAAATATAGAGGAAATAAAAGTATTTTGACATATATATATACGTATCACAAAAATTTATTTTATGAAAGTACGAATGCAGTTTTACTCTATAAATCATATATAAATTATCAAATTTATTATTAATAATAAATTGTTTACAACGTAAATTTATAATAAAAGTAAAAAAAATTAAGAAAATGTTGGCTATTCCTTGAACTTATAAGGTACTTATGTTAAAAAGTACTTGTAATTTGCAAAAAATTTATAAATTATTACACTAATTGTTAATAACAAATTGTTTGCAGTGTAAATATACAATAAAAGTGAAAAAATTAAAAAATTATGCGTTATTACATAAACTTATAACGTATTAATGTTAAAATGTACCTTTAATTTGCAAAAAGTTTATAAATTATTACACTGATTGTTAATAACAAATCAATATTGTTATTAACAAATTGTTCGTAACGTATATTTATAATGAAAGTGATAAAATTAATAAATTATTGGCTATTAAAGCGGAAAAATAATAAATAATGGAATCGGTAAAGCTCGAAAATTTCTAATCGGAGTGGGGGGGTCTTGGCTGATCGACGGCTATATAAGGGGCGACGCGACGCAGTATAACTCATTTGTCGGTTCGACTTCGGAAGTGTAACATCTAAATTTACTTGTGCGCGGAGGGGTAGGGGGTCCGAAGTGAGGTTGGGGCTAGCCACCCCAGCCTCACCCCACCCCATTAACCACTTTAACAATAATTTTTTCTTTCAGCTTTAATTCTTCTTTATTTTCAGGTATTAATTATATTTTTTTTCAGTAATTAATTATTTTTTTCCTTTTCCAGCTATTAATTATTTTCACTTCTTTCAGATTTTATTTTTTCGCTTGTATTTATTTTTATTTGAGTATTCTAATATTTCATATAACATTCGAATGTCTCATCGTTAAATTGTTTGTTTCTCACCGTTGGGTTGTTCATATCTCATCGTTGGTATATTCGTTCCCTCTTAAATAACTTGATAATAATTTTTTCTTCCAGATATAATTCATTTTTTTTCTTAAATTTTAATTCTCATTCGTCTCTATTTATCTTTATTTGAGAATTCGAATATTTCGTATAATATTCGAATCTCTCATCGTGTAGTTGTTTATATCTCATCGTTGGGTTGATCATGTCTCATCGTTGACACTGTTTATTCCATTTGTTTGATCATTATGACTTATGTCTGTTTTGCTTTTATTATGTTTTACTAATCTATTACTAATCTGTCTCTTTTCAGCTTTTCAGATTTTTCAAGACATCGTTGGACAACGCAGGATGCGTTTAGATCTAAGTAGATATAAGTCGTTATAAGATAGCTTACTAGACTAAGTCTCATGTGCGCGCTATTTGTACAAAGGTAAGCTACCTAACTTGAAGCGAAATATATTAATTCTCACATCCCTCTCGTTTACCAAATAGAACATAATTGTTCTCGCGATAATAGCGATTCTTCTTAAGTACCGACTAGCCTACGTTACGTACTTTCCGTGTACTCGATACCTCCAGGCCTTGTAAGTCATCCTCACGGCTCGTCTCCGACACTCATTTCGGCCACTGTCAATCTCGTCATGCATCGAGATCTCTGGTGGCCCTCGGGCTGGTGAGGCATCTGGGGCAACACGAGGGTCCGTCGACCTCAGTCGTCCTGGGTGCCAATCCGCGCACACGACCGGGGGATGGGCCCTGCAGTCGGAATCATTGCAAGAGCGTGCCTGCCTGCCCCTCTAGTACTTGGAGGCTATGTGGTTATGTTTGCATAGAGCCGGGGTATGGAGCATGCGCGTGATTCCGACTGTTAGGCCTCGCATAGGACCCTCGGATTGACTCTGGGGGTTTCACTGGTTCGTTGGCTGCCTTAGGTCATCGAGTAAGCCATGGCGAGGTCGGCGGTGGCAGGATGGGCAAGGCCCGATCGGGAGGGTGCTGAGGCCTGAAGTTGTCTTGTGCAAGGGAGTGCGTCGCGTAGGCTAGTCGGTCTTCCGAATAATCGCAAACTCCTTTTGTAAGACACGATATTTAATAAAGTGTCAGTAGAGACACTTTAACTTAATTCGCTCCAAGTTAGGTTAGGGAATCTTTGATACAGATGGCACCAGTAGGCTGCGCCACTAGGGCGCATGTCTGAGTCTCGATGCGTAGCCACCTCCACGTGGTGAGACTGGTAATTGGTATCGTAAACGACACCAAGCTAAGAGCTACGCACAAAAGTTGAAATATTAGTTGTATGATAGTAATAAATTAATTAATTCAGTCTCTGGTTAATTATAGGTTATATATAAGCAAGTAATAAGTTTAAAATATTTCCTATCCATTATAAGTTTTCAAAATTCCCTTTGAATTAATTTATATTTCTATTATTACTTGTATCCTT